TTTCATCACACTGAATTAATACTAATTCTTCAATTTATTTTAAAAAAATCATATTTTAACTTTCTTCACTGGATTATTAAAAAACAGCTTTTTGGTACCTATTTTACATGCAGTAACATCTTTGTTAAAATGCTTTATGCACACCAATGTTAAATGAATCATAACACTGAGTGTTCCTATTATTTCATGTGGCTCTCTTTCCCATTGACATAATTCTTTGTTCATGGTCATGCTGGGGATAGATTTTATTTTCTCAGCTTGATTATGAGACTCTCATATCAGGCAATATCAAGAGCTTTAAAAATGAGACTAAGTCTTACCTATCATCTGTCTTATCATTTATCCACCAAGCATCAAAGGAATCAGTTTGCACTGAGAAATGACAGTTTGAGCTTGCAGTATGTTTGCTTCCACCCATGGCTTAAGTGATGTATTTTATTTTGTGCTAGAATCTTTATATTTCAATAAATAACAGAAGCACTTAGGTCTGTCAAATACAAATTCTTGAGGTACTGCAAAAACTAACACATAGTATATGACATTATGCAATGTTCATGAAAACAACAGTTGGTTGTTGTTGCTTTTCTAATCTGAGTTATCAATTGCAATGTCAACCAGCAGATGGGAGCAGAACTTATTAAAGTTGTTAGGGACAATTGTAAAAATTGACATAAACATGTAAATTATTCTTCCATTCCCTCTGCTTCGGAAGCACTTCTGATAGATTAGATCTTCTATACAGTCATTCTACTATTTATTTGTTCCATAATATGACAGAGTTTCTTCATAAAAATTGTCAACATTTATAAAGACGTTTATGGAAGCTTCAGAAGACAAAATGAGCTTCTTATCCTATTCTATTTGATAATAGTTGCTGACAATGTCCAGGAGAATTATCTTGGATTGAAATTAAATCACAGAAACCAGAAAGGAAGGATGACCTAGTGTGCATCAGCAATTGTTCTTTCAGACTCAATAGATAGCGGAAGTTATATGAAATTATATTTCTTCTGTAAATTAAGACGTGCTTTTATTAGGCTTGCTTGCATTGAATAGAAATATCGGGAGGTAGCAAAATTTATAATGCACATGCTTAAAAAAATCAGATGACAATATATAACACTACTTAAAAAGTTCTGAAGATGGTTTTTGATCACTTCAAATCACAAACTCAACATTCAGAGAAAAATGCATCCATGTTTGATTATGTGAATGGAAACTTAAGTTTCTTTTGAAAGGTCCCTTGAGTTGTTCTCATCATTTTAAAATTTAATGCATTGAAAAACAGGGTGAGCCATAAATCTGAATATTCTTCCACTATGCATATTTCTGCTAAATCTTTGGTCCTGCTAATTCTTTGGTTCCTAAAGCTGCACAATGCAAAAAAGACATACTTGGTAGGTAAATAAGTCAGCCACAACAGTTAGTCTAAATACACACTAACTCTATACTGAAGTCCAAATTGCTTTACAGTTGTCCTGACTTTCCTATCTGGCTTGAATAAAAATGTTCCCAACTCCCTTGAAAACTGCAGTCACTATTCATGCATTTTATAATCAAACAGAAAATGTGTGATGTCAGCTACACAGTCAGCTAATACTCCTCAGGAATTTTGATATGAAGGTTGTAACCTAAAATGATGACTCAGCTGAAAAAATATTAGTTCCTGACCCCTGTCTCTGATTCAGGGCAGATGGCTTTGTTTTTTCAACAAGTCAGAATAAGAATCCTAACAAATTCATTAAATTCCATGTGTTTTTCCTACTAAGTGCCTAAAGATGAAATTATATGACAACCACAAGGAAGAATATATTGATTGGTAATTAATTTCCTTGGAGAATCCTTGGCTAAAATACATTCACTTGTGTACTGCATTTATATTGTTAGAAATGTTATTCACTTTGTCCTGTACACAGTTTTGGGAAGGAGAGGATTCTTTAACAAGTAATTATATAGATTTATGTATCTTGGGTCAGGCCTCAAATGCAGAAAAATTCTTGCTTGTAATCTTAATAGGACAATTATGCAAGAAAGTAGAATTTACTTTGGGGTCTGTCATTCCATGATTTGTTTACAAGTCAAAGAGGAATTCACACATCCTTAGTCTAGTCACATTTCCCTGTATGTTTGTCTGTAAACCTTGAAAATTTGTCCATCTGAATGTTCAGTCCGTGTCAAAGATGGAATTTAGATAATTGCCATTTATATAAGAAACCTTAGCAGCAAAGAAAATAATGAAGTGCACAATTTGGCTAATTAGACTTGTAAAATGTCTCTCAGGGTGCAAGGGGAATAACACTAAATGGGAAATTCGTAGGGCTCTTATTTTAAACACAGTGTGACAGGACCATAGCATGTCAATGGGTAGTAATCAATTGCCTATGCCTGTTCAGTTTACAGTGACTGGTTTTAACTGAGCAACTGACATAGTGTAAAAATTCTTTTTCCTCGTGAAAAACTTATCTATTATATGTAGGTAAGGAAAATCTTAGCTGAAAATCAAAGTGGAACACCACTCAGTCTGCCATGTCCCAGTCATGCTACTGATTAGCCTCCCTCCCTCCTATTCAAACTGCTATATTGCCTTGGCATATTGACAAACTCATATTTTCTGATGCGAAAACTATTTCAGGAAAGAAAGAAAATATCTCAATCTCTTCTGCTTCAATACCACTCCTACATAATTAAAACATGATTCTCTTTGTTTACTGTATACTTAGTATTTCTTGGACACAAAAATATATATTTGCAAAGAAGACATCTGCTTTAAGATTCTTCCTGGAGGTGTATAACAGTCCTTCTCAAAACTTATCAGAATTAGTCTTTTTGCAATATCATATTTAATTTTTCAAGAATTCCTCAAAACTCTGGAAAAGTCAGTATACATGAGGTTGAAAAGAAAGGTAAAAAGTTTTATTGACAAATGTCACCCGTAAAGATTATATAAGATGTTATTTCATATTGTGTTGCAGTTTTAAACCTTTATATTAATTTGCCATATACTGAACTACCAAATAAAAGGCCAACAGATAATTTTGTTCCTTTACTATGAGGAACACTTGAACTAATTAAAAGTAATTCAGCAAATTATCTAAAACCATTTAGTCAAATATAGAGAGAGGTCAAACCTAGAGCAGCACTATTTAAATCAAATTGAATTCCAGCTAGAGAACGGACTTCAAATAGATTTTTAATTGCAGTGTTTTGTCCACAGGGCATTCTATCACACACACTTTGTTTTCAAGTAAAATCCACCAGAATATCCTCCATCAGGGCAGTGCTATGCCTCTCTTGATTACAGAATTTCTGTATTATGAAGTATGTAAATACATTCTAGGGCTTTCATTCTTTGGTCATCTTGCTTATAGTTAATCTCTCCAGCCAAGCACTGAGTGCTTCCCCTGACTGATTCATTTCACTAAGCAGAAAAAGAGGAAACCAAAACATGACACTAGTGCACAGAACCTGCAGGAGAAGGGTGAAACCCTCCATGAAGGGCCCTGTCAGTTTATTTCTCTCTGTCAGCACTGCCTGAGCACAGAGAATGCCAAGCTCAGATTTTTTGGGACTGCCCCAACCACAAGGACATGCAGCTTTGGGCTTCTACTGTGTTCCAGTTATATGCAAAGCCATCAGTGTTTCCTCTTCTATTCTTCTAGATCCATGTGGATTTCAACCCTAGAAAGAAAGGGAATGGTGAGCTATAATCATTAGGACAACAGAAAAGGGACTGTGTTTTCAATGTTTCAGATTTTAGATTATGGTAATAATTAAACTGGTCTATTGGTTTGTGAGTTTTTTGCACAAAACCTTTGTTGGGGGAATAATAACTGCAACAGTATTCAGTTTTTTTACTAAGAGGACTTCCATGAAACTTTTACCTTAAAACATTTATTATTTAAAGTACCTTTGTTTACAACTAATGATAATTGTTTAAAATTAATTATATTTCAAATATTTTATTGTCAGTCTAAATTGGCTTCAGATTCATGAATTAAATGCTCAGTTGCACATATGATATGCTTTGCTGCATTAGAAGGCTACAAAGAGGCTACAAAGAGATATTAATGACCTGGACATCATTAATATCTCTTTGTAGAGATATTTTCCACTCATTATTTTCCACTCTTTCTAACACAGTATACTCCATGGGAATTATCACAACAGAGCATTTTTGCACATCATGTAACCACTCAAAATTACTCAGCTGCAAATATGCTTTAAACATGTTTACAAAGGATCCTAAAATCGCATACTAATGGTCTTGTAAAGCAGCTGGTATCAGTAAACTCACTGAAGCCAGAACACTCCAAAAGAGAAAGGGCAGCCAGTTGCAGATAGCAGAGCAGGAGCACTGCCTGATAACACAGATGAGGACTCTTGTATCTGCCCTGGCTGGATGGAAACTCCCAGAAGAGGCTCCTGCCAGCGTGCAGGCGCTGCATTTCCTCACAGCCACAGCAGCCACATCAGAGAGTGGGAGAGCACTTTGAACCACTGGGTTTAGAACTGAGCATGATTCTGGATCTACCAAAACAGTGACACCCAGATCCAGCACAAGGCCAACTCTGGCAAATGGGACAGAAGTTCTCAGAAGGATGAAGTGATCATGTCATATGAGCATAGGATGCTGGAAACCAACCAAAAAAAAAAGGCAGCAAAAAGAACAAAACATTTCTTGCTCATTCTAGACATTCTATTCAAATATCTACACAAGTCATCTCAATCTGTGAAATTCAAAGGGCCTAGATGTGCTACTTTGTAAATATTTGATTTCTAGATCAAAGTTCCATCGGGTAAATGGGATTTTTTCCGAGTTAAGTGGAAACTAAAGCAGAATACTAAAAGCACCTACTAAACTGAATCAGGCCCTTCTATTAATGCTAAATTGTGTAATTGAATAAACTTGACATTGAGAACAGCTGTTTTAAATTCATTGTATAATTGTTTTTAAATACAATAAATACCTATATTTAAAACTTTCATTATTTACTTGACAGACTTGAATCAAAGGAGCCCTTCCTGTCCGTTGGGTAAGTAAGAATATGTATATTTTCATGGATATTTATATATTTAAAAACCATGCAATATAATTTATGTGATTATGTTGAGCATACACGTCCTATTTCAAAATGATGGTTATTTACTATACTTAAGCTTATAAAATGCAGCTTTTAGTTAATAAAGTCAGAAGCCATGGATATTTTCCTTCTCAAAAAGAAACTAAGTATGTTTTGCCTTTATTGACTAAACAAAACTTACACTAAAATATATATAGGAGTTAAACATTGCATTAAAGGTAGCTGGTTTATTAATTTATTTTCACTGACTTTATTCAGAAACCATTCTAAATATCATCTTTATCACTTGTCTAAACCATGAAAACATTGATAATGTCCTTTAAAAATTGCGATAGTTCAATAACAGAAATAAAATAAAATTTATGAAATAGAAAAAAATCCATTTTAGCCTGATTATAAATCACTGCATTGATTTGCATATTTCAGCCATAGCCTTCATACTGTCAGAGTCACTTAAACAGTTATATGTTCACTATATTAAAATGATAACTCATCATACCAAAAAAATTCTTTTAAAAGGTGTCATATTCTAAAACCTATCATTCTTCTAGAAAATGTAGACTAATATATGTATTAGCGGTAATTATCTGTATTTTGAGTCTGAATTTCACTTTTCATGCACAATTTTCCCTTCAGCTTCTTTCTTTAAAGCTTTCCAAACTGTCCTAACATTCTCCCTCCCTGTTTTCCTTCAGAATTGTCTTTTTTATGTGTCTTAACTCTCATCTTCCTTTGTTCACACCATACTTTCTGTTATCAAGAATAAAAACTGTAGACAAAAGATACCATACAAAATATCCCTTTAAGGGTTAGCTCTACCATGTAATTATCAGTGACTTCCAAATTGTTGTACTAACTGCAGAATTAGAAGTCAACTTCAAACTCTGAAGTGTGGAGTACAGTTAACAAGCAAGAAAGTGTGTAAATTATGATCAAAAGTACTCTACAAATTAGCATAAACAGGACTGAGATATATCTTGGTTTCTGTAGCATAAAGTAACTCTGGTTTGAGTACATTTTGGAATAATTGTTTGCTGTTTTTACTTTTACCTGCTCAAAATGATTGGAAAATATTTGGAGGGGGTATGGGGGGTACACTGCTCTTGTTTTGCATGCTCTGAAATGTCCAAATTTGCTATCAAAGTCAGTCCCTTCTGTTAATAACTATCATTACTCCAGTTTGTAACTCATCCTATTAAGTTGGCTTTTTGGGGCCTCCACTCTCATAATGAAGTGATTATTTGAAAATATCAACTTTAAGATTAAAAAAAGAAGTTGCATGCCATTTTTGTTGAGAAGCAAAGTTTTAAGTACAACAATCTAGTAAACAAATAAAAATACAACGCTAGTGGTTACATTATTTGTCACAAAATATTAAACCCTATTTCTTATCATGATCTGAAGAACCATGCTGGCAATTTTAGCTTGTTTGCCTAGGAGGAAGCATTGTGGTTTGGCTTTGGGTTTGTCTCCATATGAGTAGATTGGTGGCCACTATGTAAATGCACATAATGTCCACATATTTATTGTATACGACTTTGTCTGTAAAACTGATTCCTCTTGGGAATTCTAATCTGAACAAATAGACTTTGTTTTTTGCCAGAACATTTCAGAAGTTTACCTGTAATGTACTCGAATTCTTTTATGCAAGTTCATAATAATGAAGATAGATAAAATCTCTCAAAATTATTCCCTGTGTGCTGCTTTTGCCTTTTATTTCTTTATTTCCTCCACCCCCAAGGAGGGCATCAGAGGGTTAGACTACCATGTTCTAAGGAGGGGCCCAAACCAACATCCACCTCCTTGGTACCACATTAAAGAGACCCTCCTAGTCCACAAAAACTGGGGAGTTCTTTTTTACAGAGAATGAGTTCTTGTCCCAGGATCTGTATCTGAAGTTTTAGCCCAGAGAGCTGCAACCACCAGGCTTTTAAAATACAGTAATGTTTGCAGAAGAAATGCTGACTTAACCACTATTAAACAAACACATGGGTGCCCTTAATAGCTCTTGCTGCCAGAGTTTGTCAAAACACCAATCTAAATTACTTTTGGCTGCCTCCAGATGGCTTGATCCTGCACACCAGCCTCCCATTCATCTATCTTCTGTAACAGAGATTTGTTTCCACATTCTCATTATGCTGCCTGCAGGACCTAATTAAGCTTTTTTGTTTTGCTGTGCCTAAGCATACGACTTCTTGGTGCTTTTCCATTGCTAATTGTTTTGGTAGGGGAAGGGAACATGAAGTGTGGCAACCTAAGACCTCAAGTCTGCCACAGGTTTTTGAGCTGTGTGTATGTGCAGGGCTGCAATCATCCCATAAGAGATCCCACAAAGGAAAATTGGTTGATAAAATGTTGTATTTTTTCTGCACCCTCAGAAAGCAGCCAGAGAGAAGCAGAACCCAGCTCTTGTTGTTGTCCTTCACATCTCAAATGCAGGGAGAGAACACCTCCTGTACTCCCTTGGTAAAGACAATTCCATTTATCATTCTTTCTATGCAAAGCGCATAGCAAAGAAGAAAAACCCACTCTGCTATACTCCATGTGCAAGGCAGGGGTGTAATTTTGCACTGAATCCACAGTAACATCTTTAATGAAAGTCTCTAATGGTAGCATTCAGAAGCAAAAATTCATCAAGAATACAGTCTATTCAGATAACAGTAACTGAATGCAATACTGTGATTTTCGGCTAAAATACAAAATTGAATTTGATATTGTGCTGTCTTCTTTTGCCTCTTAGTGATGGAGATAAAATCTTTAGGGAAGGCTGAGATATTTGTTAGTGCACACTACTGAGTGACAGCCTGTAAGGGCATAGGATAATCTTCTCCAGAACTGTTATTTCCACACTATTTCCCACATTTTGGGATTTGTGTTCGTATTCAACATAAGCAAGACCAAGAGGTGTCTGGACTTTCTTTCCTTTTCATGTTATACAGTATTCATGCTCATGTAGGCTTAGTATTAAAAAGAGGTCACGCAAATGCTCAAAGTGCCCAGAAGACTTTAATATCAGAGGCAGGAGTTTTGGTAAATATCCACCACTGAAAATGCATCAAATTAGTTTAATGCAGAAAAGTTTGAAAGGTTCATACTTAAAAAGGCAAGGCAAGTCAAGAGTCTTGATAAAAAAATATATGGATACTGCAAAATGGACACTGCAAAAAGAACAGAGTGCCATCTCATATTAAGTTCATCCTGCTATGTGCAAAGGATGTATTATAATTTAAAAGCAATATATATTTAAAATACCAACATCTTTTAATTATCCACATCAGCTCTCCATAGTTGGAAATTTCCTAACAGTAAAGATGCATAATTATCACCTCAACAAAACAGTTATCATTCTCTCTAGATAATTAGATTGGTTATTCAATTATTAACCACCAGCTATTTCTTGGCAGCTGATTTCTCATAGCTATCTGCATTTAAGAGTTTAGCACATGATAAATTTCAGCTAATACTACATGCAGATTTGTAACTGGTCATTGGCCTGAGCCTTAAAATTAAAATTTTATTTTGTAAGACACAGAAAATGCAGCATCTTTTAAGGCCTGTAATAGTATTATGTGGTGGATAGAGGCCATAATTATTTTGTAGCTGTGTTGCACAATAAATTCTTTGAATTAATTATTTTTGGTTTCTAACTATAATTGTATGTAACTTCCATAATAACTGGTGGTCAATATAACTTCACCATATGCAGAGGCAGAAAATTCTCTCATAGCAATAATAATTTTGTCAAACATGTAAAAATATTTCTCTTCTCTGTCAGATGTCATTTACTAACATGTCTGTATTGCTGAATTCAGAATAGACAGGGAGAGAAAAACAACTGATTTTTTCTGAGTCTCTTGAAAAGAGATTCCTTTACTGCCAGCTGCAGAGAATGGGCTTATTTCTGGATAAGCAGACAATAGTGCTTCAGTGAGATGGTCTTTGAAAATCACCATCTCCAGCATTGAAAAGTATTTTTTCAATTTTTTTTTTGATTGTTTCCTATAAGCAGTAAAATTTTAGGTGGAAAGCCCAAAGGGAAATATAAGTGAAAATTAATGCATTGTATATATTTATTTAATGATTAATAGTTGTCTGTCATGGAAGAAAGAAGAGAGATACAAGTAAAACTAGCACTAGTCAATGCATTTTTTACATTCTTAGTAAAAACAATAGAGGTCTACTCTACTACTAGAGTAGTAGTATAAACTACTACTTTCCTCACCAAGATCCTCTTTCTAGAAAGTATATGACAGTAGAAAATACTGAAAAGCCATGCTTTTTCCAAATAATATCCTAATCACAGTAACTTTCAAACATAGGTACTTAATTCTGCAAGAGACAGAATAATTTTGGTGGACTCAGGTTCTTGGAAGAACTTGGAAATGCTTCTAAAATAGAAAAAGTAAATTTCATTATTTTCTTCCAGAAGAATAGTTCTAAGATATATAAAATAACTCAAATTTGTCACTCATATTTGTTCCTTTTGCTTAGTAATATTTTCTTTCCTGCAAGGCCATTTTGCAGATCCATAGGAAATTCTGCTCTCATCTAGTTTGAGGGATCCCATTCTGCAGAAATGAGATAGTTTCAATAAAAGCCTAGCATTTGCAGGGTCTGTTATGATAATACTCAGTCCACTTCCAAAATATGCAAGTTTTTTCAGTTCACAGTCAGTTTTTGTGGGGGGTTGGTTTGTTGATTTTTCAATGGCCAGTAGGTTGTAAGGCACAAAATAGAATGTAGCCATGGAGCATCATCTGTAACAAATTCCATCTCTCTTGTTCCTCATCCCCGTTATCAGGTAGCACCAGTGGAAGGAGCAAACACTGTTCCTACTGTTCCTACCCAACTTCTGAAGAGAGAGAGCTAAGAAAATTATTTTTCTTTGGCAGAGGAATAGTACAAAAAGAGGAGATACTGGACTCATTTTGCTCTGTTATTATGACCCAAAT